TGATGATTTGTATAATTTTAAGGGCAAAGATGATTCATGTCACTGTAACAGTTTCAAAATCCAAGTCAGGAAATATCTGTTTTGAAATAGTCGAAGAATAATCACTTGATTTATAACAAAATGTTCTTTAATTATTAAGACTGTCAACTCTTTTTTTTTTCGGTTATAAACTATGTTCATTTGTGAAAAAAATTTATTTGATGTTTTAGTAAACTAATAAGTTTAAATGTTATAATAAAGTGAAAGTGAAGTTTTGAAAGATATAGAAATAGAGTTTCTGGAAGAGTATCTAGAATTCATCCAATGGTAAACATCTAACAGAAACAATAGTAAAAATATTACTTATGTAGAGTGGTATATTATCATTTTTGACAATATAGTTTCAACCAGCGCGAAATTAGCTCTAGAGTCTAGACAAAGATTTTTGTAAATATTTACAGAAAAGTAAGAATACTGTTTTCTAGTAATGAATAAACATGGTTATTTACATGGATCATCAAAATTTATGGAACAAATCAACTTATAAAGCTAAACATGAGATTTAAATGATTGTCCTTTTCAAAAGGATAATTGTAATAGCATGTAAAGTAAATTATTGGCAGGTTTTACTTGTAACAGCAAAACAGTAGATGTGTTAAAATCGTATGAAACTATAGAAACACTGTCGTTAGTTACACTGTCTGCCCCAAGTAACACTATCTTTAGTAAGACCTTATAATAATAACATCAACTGCCCATAGAAGCACTGTCAGTTTTTGTTAAAAGATATGTAAATGAAAACTATAGAGTAACATGTGTGAAATGAAATATTTTGTGAAGAACTGTTATACACAATAGAAATCATAATTATATGGGTAGAGGAATAGTATATTTAATTCATTAATTCAAACAAATCGAACTGTAAGCTTGAATGTTAAATTATTGTTTGACATTTAGAGATGTAAATAAACGTAATTTTCAGGACGATAATTGTAAGAGTTATGTTATGCAAATCAATTATAGGACCGAAAACTATACTACAATATATTAAATGTGTACTAAATCATAAAAACACAATCGGCTGTCTCGTTCAATATTTGTATAAACGAAATATTAGGTGTGATAAAAACATTTCAGCAGTAAGTTAAATGTCTTTGTGACATATCCGCCTAAAGAAACACATGTAATACATTTAAACATATTAATGAAAAATATAAACATAAGTTGAGACAAGTTGAAATCTATATGCAGTCTTACCAGACTATCTGCTTATAGAAACATCATTTGCTTTTGTAAGACACACACACAATACGTCTTGTATGCCCATCCACCGAAAGAACCTTTGTAACACAGTCCATTTAGTAACACCATCTACGTTTGTAAAACACACGTAATAGAGCTAAATATATAAACGAAAAATATAAACATAAGTTGAGACAAGTTGAAACCTGTATGCAATACTAAGGAAGTATTGTAACAATATCTGCCTTTGTAAAACACACACACAATATGCCTAGTAAGACCATCCTTAGTAGCACTGTCTGCCTACTAGCATCATCCGCCTATAGAACCTTAGTAACACCATCCGCCTATATAAACACCATCCACCTTTGTAAAATGTATGTAAGAGAAATTGCCTTTGTAATACCCAAACAATATGACTAGTAAGACCATCCATCTATAGAACCTCGGTAACACAATCCACCTAGTAACCCCATTCACCTACAGAAACACTATCTTTAGTAACATAATCCATCTATAGAAACACTATTCACCTTAATAAAACGTTTTTAATATTTTACTTATAAAAGGAATCTGTTACGAAAATTTGATTAAGTTATTAATTTAAAGACTTTGATTGTTACTATAAAGTTCATGACATGTTAATAAAACTATGCGGTCATCATACCAACACCTCCTCTGGTGCCACTTTATGGCCCTAGCAAGACATCCTTTGATGTGTAACACTCGAATTATGATGTCAAATTTATTAATGAGATTGATTCCAAGGATGAATTAAATATTAAAGATAAGTGAAGAATTGTTAAAATGAAAGGTATTATTTTGAATAAAGACTCAGAACAGTATTCTGAAAATTAATTTTGGGAAATCGATTTTTGTAATATTGGTGGCACAACAGGTAGCCAACGTCAAGTGCTAATTCGATAAATCATTAAGAGTGTAGCACATTTTTGGCTTTTAGTAAATCGCTTCTGTATTTACTTATTTTTATGATTGTTTCAATATAGATATGCTAATAAGTGTTACGACCATGAATAGAGTAACATGTATTAACCAATGATTTAAAAGAAGTTTTCTTTGTTTATGACAAAACTACTCATGCTATCTACCTCAGCTTCTAATTTTGGAATGCTCTTTTACTTACAAAGAAATGGGAGTGAATGAGATATTATAATGCTTCCATGTCTGAAAGAGCAAGCATGTTCAGTGCTGGGTTTCGGTCCCACGACCTGCTCTAACCAATAGGCCATACCAAGCTCCTAAGAAGGTGGGAAAAAGAAACAATTTTTACAGGTCATTTGAAAAATATAGTGATACACAGTATAATTTCATGAACATTTAAGATGACTAGCTTAGAAAACGCTAAAATAAAATTTTACCAAACTGAATGGAAGAGAAGCCTACCTGTCATTAGTTACAACTGATAATTAATATTATACCATTTAAACATAGAAGTTGAAAGTAAGACTATAGATACAGGTGTTTTTTGTTTTTTTTTACATTCTTGGGTGATACACGTGAGAAGTGTTTTCAACTAATGCAATAATAATTCGGATCATAGTAGGAAAGCAACTAGACAGAATGGATTTTTTTAGCTGGTTTATCTTTTGTTTTAGTGCAAAGTTACACAATGTGCTAAACGTGCTCTGTCCGCTGTGGGGAAACGAACGTCGAATTTTAGCATTGTAAGTTCTTAAATTTACTGCTGACACACAAAGGAACATTATCTGGTAAATTAAGAAGAAAACCAAACGGGAAACACAACCTCTGTAAATGAAAAGTTAGAGTAATATCACAAAAGAATAGGTTAAAATAATATCTAAATAAATCTAGTATAGAATGCCTTAAAACATATTTTTGTTATGTTAAGTTGCTTTTCCAGTGGTTAGCATGCCAGAGTGTGGTTCATCAAGAAAGAAAAAAGTTCTTGCTCCCCTCTTTGGGGCCACGGATGTGTTATAAGTGTGATGGTCAAATCCTATTATTCGACTAGAGTATTCCACTAGTTGCCTTTCCTGTAGTCTAGAACTTCAAAATGAGGGAAGGCTGTCACAGATAGCCCTCAAATAGTGAACCATACAAGGGTTGACTCGAAATTTCACACAGATTGCTTTACCTAATAAAAGGAAGAGATGCTAAGGCCAAGCATTCAGGATCGCTGAAACCAAAAAGCAGAGAACACCATGCCCTGATATTTTTGACAAGTAATTGTGTCCCTTCTGCCCCATGAAAAGACCTGTCAGTGTACAAAGTTGGAGCTAGATATATTTCTCTCCCTCCTACACAAACAGTTATTGAACAGAGTCTGTTAATGAAATATTATTCTCTTTCATCAGCGACTGACAGTGGACTCGTCGAATTTTCCACATAAGGGTTAGGAGATGGATACATATATCTGGCACAATCATATCTACATCTGAAGACATAGATTGTTGAAAGTGATGGAACAGACGTAAAAAAAAGATGAAGATAAGTCTGCTCCTGTCAATCTGTTTCTTGGTTCTATATTTTCTCAGTTGATGACAAACTCACTGCTTCATTTCACAATCTCTATGCCTATAAGGCGTACATAGAAACACTACTCAGTTATAATGGAGAAGCCAAGAGAAGTCATCCGACTATGGCACAGTGGGTAGTTTTTATGATCTCGACTTTAACAATGCAGATAACAAGGGAATCAAAGACTGACACATGGATAATCAAGGTAGTCAAACTGTCGGCATGATTGACCATATACATTCAGACATGTTTCTGCAAAACAAGCTCATGCCAAATGGTGTTACTTTCAAACTATGCCTCATAGGAAGTAAAGATGTGTTTTGTATTATGTTGAGTGATGAATCAAGTTTCAAGGTTGTTCTACAACATGTTTTTTTTTATATCTTAGAAAAGTAAAAGTCAGTCCTTTGGTCGTTCTATAGCACTCAAAAGCCTTTCATAAATGAACTTACAAGCATCCATTGATAATGGAGTTTTAGGTTAAGCACCTACACATCATTTTGTAGGACATGTTGATAATTATGTATTTAATGGATCTTGGAAGAAAAATCCATGCAATTTCAAACATTGCTGTACTTTGTCAATTTGGAAGTAAGTGGGTCTGTGTCTGCTCATGTTGAAAAGGGAAAGGAGAATATTTTTATTCCTTTGGATTACCTTCACGAACTCACAACGTAACAGAATTTATCAAAAAGAACTGCCGAACATGAATTTACAATAAGAAGGTTGTGCAAGGACCTTATTCCACAGCATGTAGACTATACTTTATATATTATGTCTATTACAAATGCAGATGCATATCCAAACAAAATTTTTTGTTTGTCCAACTTTGGATCTGATATAGATATAAGTGATATATTTCCTCATAATTTTGTTACACAGTGATTTAATGTAACAACACTAGATATACCTTTTTATGTAGATCAAATATCAAAATCATTATTTTACGAAAATTATTGAATGTTTTTACAAAATTTAAGATATTGTGAGAGAGTGATTTATGTTATGTAGAAGATATTAATATTCTTATATCATAGTAATCTTGTTTGTAGATAGCATGGTGAAACAAAACAAATCTCATGAAAATATTTTTTATTTGTCATAATGATATAGATTACAGTTACTTAATCTTATACTTTTGTACAAAGGAAGTCAGATAGCTCTTGAATAAATTCACCATTTTCAATATAATCAATAGGATTTAACTTCTTAAAATCACGTATGTTTAGTTTACTAGCTCTATCTTAAGACACATCTAATATAATGTTTTTATTTACTAGAGTCAAAGCAGTCCTCAGATATCACCAGGTACCTTCATCATGATCCAACATCGTGCATTTATGAACAGCTTGATTAGGATCATCCACATGGTAGGCCCAGCAATTCTCCTTTCTAAGTTTTTGTATGACAGGGGATATATGTTCAGCATGCACTTCGAATAACAATTTTATAATACTATCATTAATGCAATTAGATGTAGTTTCTGATTCCGTTTGTTTTATTTGATTTAAATATGAATTGATAAAAGAAACCTCTTCACATAACCGATACATTCAGACTTTTTAAAGTTATAAGACTCGATATATAATTGTTAACATTATATTGCATTTTAAACATATTAGAAACATTTCTTGACTCGTAACATACAACATTAATAATATCTAGACCAAATTCTTCTTACCATTCAACATGCAGGAATGTTACACTTTCTTTGGTAGGGTATAATGTGCCATTTCCATAGTCTCTATATTGTCTCTTTGTTTCTTCATTAAACAGATCAATCGCAATACACTAGTCATTTCCTAGTGGATACACTTGAGAATATTCTGATGGTTTGTCTCGCCAGAAAAGATACAATTAATCACATTGTTGTACTGTTTGTGAGAAGGGAAGTGTACTAGATACCTGTTAAAGAAAACAATAATAAAATTGAAACATGTATCAGTCACAATTAATATAGTTATATGTTAACAACAAGACTAGAATTAATCTTACCTTTGTGTTTTCCATAATGTAGAAGATATACGAAGTTATCTCACTCTTGGACTGATTGTAGGCAAAATGTTTGTAAGGAGATTTTCAATGGTTTTTATAGCACATTCATATGCTTAAAAGTATACTTTATAAAACACATAGTATATAAATTTGGTCATACTTACACAACTATTCTTTTTTACAACCACACCTTTAATTACCAAAATTATTGTACCATGCTTCTATACAAGTGTTTTTTATACCTCTATAACAGGAAATTGACAAGTCCATGTCCTACTTTTACTCTATAGTAATCTTCATTATATACACTATCTTACCAAAAGTCGTGTGACACGGGTAGGTATGAATAAAACATGTATTTATTCCAAGGAATTAATAGCATGTTGGCAAGCATTTGGACTTAATGACTGCTTCAATGCATCGTGAAAGACTGTCTACTAATTTCTGGTATAAAACTGGTGGTATTGTGCTCCACTTCTTCTTTAAACCATTAATAAGCTCCATTACTGAAGAGGGCCATCTTGGCCTTGCCCTAATTCAGTGTTCTAGTTCATCCCAAAAATGTTTTATTGGGTTGAGGTCAGGGCTTTGTGCTGGCCACTGGAATGTTTCGATGCTGTTCTCTTCAAACCATGCCTTCACAACCCTTGCTTTGTGACATTATCATGTTGGAAGGTGTAAGGGCTGGTACCATAAATTTGCTACAATGTAGGACACACAGAATTATTCAGAACATTAATGTAGGACTCAGCATTCTTAGATCCATGCACCTAGTCCATACCATAAAAAGCCCCCAGACCATGATACCACCTGTCAGTCAGTATTTTATGCCTACCTGGCCGTTTCTTGGGCTCATTGTCACTTGTCATTGTCATTTCTTCATCACATTGTCAATTGTCGACCTGGGAATATTTAATTGTTGCCCAATAGCAGGTAAAGACATTTTCCCCAAATGACATCCAACAATCCTTCCCCAATGAAACTCTGTTAGCTCTTTCAGTGTACTCATCGTTTGGTATACAAGTTCGAAATGACTTCCGAGCGAGCCAATGATTACCTTTATAGGCCAAACTATTTGGATATTTCGTCATCACACTCATTTTCCTGCAATCAGAGGTGTGTCCCATGACGTTCGGTAGGATAGTGTACAATACTATTGTTTTTTTAAAACTATAATTATGCTTTATGACCATGTTCTTTATAAACTATAATTATTATCAATAATTGGTGTCACGTCATTACATAGTATACCTGATCCATGCAACCTTGTAGAAATTGGGTCATGCCCTCAGGCAAGTGTATGTTTAGGCGTTACGTCGTAAGAACCTGTCATTCCACACTATAATTATATATATGAATGATTCATGCTACCTTAAATACATTGAGTCAGTATCATGTTTCTTACTTCCGGCTCCAAACAACCATCCTAACTACTTGCGTTCGGTGGAGTACCTGATTGTGGTGATTAGAGCTACCCAGTTACTGGAATCTGTTTGTAGAATTTTTTGCTATTTAAGGGTGAGAAGTATATTGTTACTTTAAAAAAACGAAAACACGCAGTGAGACTTATATGTAGCAATATATCCACTTTTGATTTCTTTATGTATAGAATGCTTCTGGGAATTATTTTGCTTCGAACTAATTAGTTTACTGACAAATTAGGACATATTTTGTCCTTCAATATAAATAGTATATTGAAATGTTAGAATATACGTTTTCATACTTAATAAATTATTAACATGATACAACTAAGAAGTGAACTAAAAATTTAGAACACTTTATGTTTTATATGAAGTATTAGTAATGAACTAATATTAATTTAATTGAATTAATTAAACTAATTTTGTTCCTTATTACTTAGCTTACTAGTTTCATAACGTTTTAGTTATTACTTCGCATACTATTTTATAATATTTTTACTTGGGTTACTAGTTTTATTATTTATTAGTTAGCTTTAAAGTTTTGTTGCTTACTACTCAACTTACTAATTTTGTTACTTATTTTTAGCTTACAAGTTGTGTTTCTAACAAGTTAGAACTGTTTTCTTCATAACTTTCTTATCGACAAATTACAACTTTTTGTTCTTTACTAACATTCAAGCTAGAACAGAACTACCTCATCAGCATGTTAATATGTTTGAACAGTCTTGTATTTCTTACAAACTTATTTATATATATATATATATATATATATATACATATTAAATACATATATATTTGTAAATATAGCCATTTGTTTTAATCTGTTTGGAGAAAGAGCTCAGTAACTAGAATACACCTGTCGTTCTCTCATGGAGAAAGTCAGCATTAAAGAAAGCTTCACCGCTTTGTTATACTGAGAAGCTAGATCAATACAGAGAAAAAACTCAGAAGCTCTGCATCCGAAGGGATTACAATCCAATAGTCAATACTAGTTGGTACATAGTACAAGTAAAGGCTTTTCCCATGAGCACACACACACACACACATGTTAGTATATACCTATTTTTCAGCAGATATATTTCTGAAGTAATTTACTTGTTTCAGTTCGTTAAAGTAAAAGCATCCTAAAGTTACTTTTGAATATAAGACAAATAATTCCTTATGTTTTTGCTATATATATATATATATATATTTTTACATTATATGAGTTCCGTTGTTCTTGTGTGTGATATGTCATTTAACGAGTTTTGTGAATCAGATTAAAACCAAATAGCGTGGTCACTAGAAACACTTAACTAGATATACAGAAAATAAAAATATATAATTCATTATCTAAGACGAATGATTAATTAATTTCTTTATCATATTATATATTAACCACTAAAACCGTTTTGGTTAAATAGAATATTTATAACATTTACTGTGTATAAAATACAGTTTATAATTGACGATACAAGTGAAATTAAAGTGAGCTTTTACTTCCTAGAATATCGTAGAGTACCAATGATACAAACTTCAATAACCTATACGTTTGAATTTAATAACAATACTGAACAAAATTTAGACAAACATAGAAAGTTGGTTTTTTACATCACTCTCTACTATTAGAAGGTATAAGGGCAAGATATTGTTATATGGGATAACCATGGTTAAATGAATAGTGTCCAATTCAATTCTTTATAACTCCAACATAAAACCTAAAAAAAATTTTCAACATCTGCTTTTTTGCAATATCAATATTATTGTATACATCAACCTTCAGACACTGTTATAGTCATTAAATAAAATTTCAGTTTTTCAACATAGACGTATTAAGACAGTGGGGCGAGGTGATATGACTTGTATCTGCCGTAATGTTCTGAGCATTGTACAACCCTTGCAGCCACGAGACAGAGAAAACTTAAGTGTTGGGTACTTAAAAGCTAGTAAACAAACAAAATTTACCCTAGAAATTTTCTCGTGATTTGTTAAGAGACAATGCTTAATATCAACCTGATTAAATTAAGTTGATATAGCAAAACTCACACAATCACTTAGATCTTTTTCTAATGTAAAATTATTTTGTTTAATTTCTAAGTATTCTTCTGCATACATTTTTTGCACAAGTTTTGTATCTGTTGTATTACAGATGTAGATAATGAATCTCATGATAATATTCAGTACGCCATTATGCTATATCTATATATATATCTCCAGTTTTTGTAGAAACTGGCACTTAATGTATGCTATTTTAAACAGGTACGTTATATTTAATAAAAAAATTACATTTTATTTCACTAATAAGCGTCACTCACTGTTTTGACTTTCACGTCGTGTGAGGCTACAGACTGCGCAGTGGAAGAGTTTTGGACATGTACAATTTCGCACTGTTCCGGACACACCCTCTGCCTATCGATCGAACAAAACATATATTTTATATCAGAGAACAATACAACTTATTACAAAATGACCGCGCGCGAGCCACGACAGCAGTCGGTCTGAAGAAAGTCTTGCCACAAACTGATTCATCGATATGATTTTATGAGCAGATTGGAATCTTATTTAACGAAATCATAGCTTGGTCTCCATCTGAGTATTTCAGTGCCAGGTAGGACAGGTTTATTTGGCTGTATATTATCTGATGATTTCTCGAATATAGATAAGAAAAGCTAACAATATTTGTAAGATACAGTGGCAACCTATACTGTTAAGCTGGACTGTAGTAAAAGGAAAAAAAATTCTGAATGTAGAAATACAAGAGGTTTAAACCCCAATAGTCTGAAAGTTTGTTCTAGATTTATACTCATTTAAGATGAATCCAAATGAAGCATTTGTAAAGGAAAGAAATTACGCCATAGTAAAATCAGAATAATTATAGATAATCTCAACAAGCTTAGGACATGTTTCAGCAAAAATAGCATGTTTGTAATTTTAGGAAATGGTAGAAAATTCCTTTATAGATAATTTCATTGGAA